TACCTTATTTAGGAGACTATCATCATAAACGCGGAGAGCTAGCTATCTGATGTGAGGTATTTGTACAGCGCTCCTGTATTCACTTCTTCTATGATCAGCCGTATGCCATATCCATGCTTATTGATTTATGATTAACCTTCTCGGATTCTTCATAAATGCTAATGAATCTCAAATGAGCGATTTTGATAGAATATGCGCAACTCATCTTGATTTCTGAATCGAACGTAAAACTAATTGCAAATAGAACATGCATGCTTCAGTATGGCTACTCACTGCGTTTCGTTCTCCTCATGAGTATCCTCAGTGCTGTTGCACGTTGCTATAATGTGAAATCTAGTGAATGGGTTTTATGCATGAGATATTCTTGGCTTATAAGATATCCAGCAGGGCGTTCATATTGTTGATAAGATTAATGGATAGTAGATGAAAAAACTGAAGCCTTGAGATAAGAAGTCAGCAGGGAATCAGAAACATTAATGCTAAGAAGGTTTTTCTCCACGCTTCTTTTGAATTCTAATTTTTTATCTTTTCGATCCTTTACAATCGCTAATGCCTCAACATTTCTATTGCTGCAAATATCCAATCAATCAAACAATGTTCATGAACTCTTGTATATGCCGCTGTTCCTTCCCAACCATTATATCTGTCGCTTCCTGGATTTTGAATATCCCTCGGATGCATCCGTTCAGTTTAGTCATTCTCGTATCTCTGTGGATGCTGACGAAAGAACACTATCTNGTCCTTTCGATATTTTTCTATCCCAAATTCTAGTAACCCTAAAATTCACTCAAATTTCCTCAGTCCCGGGTAAATTCAACCTATAAACCAACAGAATATCTCGTTCACTCGTCATTCAGTTTCACTTCTGCTTCCTGAATATTCAGTGCGCTTATCTCTCTTTGTAGTCCTCATATTCTCGTTTTCTATTCTGCTCAATCCACTTGTCACACAATCGAACACGTTTCATCCTCTCACTCCACACTTCTTATCTGATATTTTGTTTAGCTGTTCGCTCTTATCTTATCCTAAGTTATCTTGTTTCGCCGTAATCCCACATCGTTCGATAACCAGATCCTCCTCGCACGACCCTGCTCCTCTTTTTGCGCTCATCTCATCGAGTCTATGCAATGCCTTCCCATCCAGCAGCACATGTGAATGTTGTTTAAAACAAACAGAAAATTCTCACGTTAGTCCATGCATAGCAACGAACCAACGAACGTGTTTGAGTCAATAGATTTAGTCGATGTTAAATTGTGAATGCGTTAGCTGCGTCAGTCAGTTATCCTGCCAGCACTTCAGCAGTTCAGCTGTTTACGATTGCGTGAGTTCGCGAATAGAATAAAAAAACGTTTCATCTGGAATATTATAGCGACTTTTGCATATCTGTCACGAGATCTACTCACATTTAACTATCAAGGAGGAGGATACAATTTGACGGATATCACAGATATCCTGCATTTAAAATCATCGTCATTCCCATCAGAATAACGGAAACATCAACCGACATCTTCCTATAAAACATATCCAGTCTCAAGTGATTGTCATCGTTGAGTGAACTGTATTGTTCAGACAAAAGTGTGTTTTCGTGGGAGTTGGCGACGGAGATACGAAAGCTTTCTGATATCGATTCAATTTATATTGCTTGCGATTCTTATTGCTGCAATTGTCACATATTGCTGCTGTATTGCTCACGAATTCGATCGTCATAGATTCATCTGCTGATCATCTATTTTCTTGATCTTCGATAATCGACATCCTAAAAATGCCATCTGGCAAATACGAAGTTTCTGAAGAGACTGAGGCTCTGCAAGCGAAACCACCGCCAGACACAAGACTTCACGTAGGTTTTTCATGCCGATCTTCTTTCACGCTTGATCCATCATTATTCAGCATATCGGTTTGTTGGAAAGTCGGAATTTTCCGACAAAATATGATCATCGCGAGCAGCTGACGGTTGGTGTAGCAAGCAGTATGAATTGAGGGAATCTCTCGAAATTTGTACTGTTAGGGTTCAATTCAACATAGTGTTATGCAACAAAACTCTGGAGCCCGAAATATTGTTCTCATTCTCTTTTGTTTGACTGCGAATTGAGGAAGCAGTTTTGAAACGGCTAACTGCTTCCTGATGTTCCTTGTATTGTGATTTTCACCAAATAATTTGACAAACCAATGTAGTTATACAATGAGATACATTCAAAATTATGATGGTATTCACATGCCGTGTTTGTTTTTTGTTGCGCTTCATTATTTATAGCACTGATTTCCGAGTGGAGTTGGGGAGATATCCCCTTGTTGACAGCCAAAATTACCTCATTGGTTCATTTCGTGCAAGCTTGTTATCACAGGCTTGCTCGGTAGGGCTGACGGCTTGAAATATAGATCAGATCTTGTGATGTTGGATTTCATCTGATGGACTATAAATTGTTCATTATTTGCTTACGGTTCAATACTACGTCAGTATTGCATTTGAGAAAATATTAATTTTCAATCAGATTTTTTCCATTTTCAATCGGATTTTTTCATTTTCAATCGGATTTTTCCATGTTCAATCGGATTTTTTCATTTCTAATCGGATATTTTTCATTTTCAATCAGATTGTTTTCCATCGGATTCAATGAATTATTCACTCTCAGCATGGGAATCAAAAACCAAATCTTTCAAACGCGTGGGAAGAATTCGATTAAATGATTGTAAAAATGTGATTGAGAACATTCCGATGATGTGTCGTCCATAATCTCAAACCGAAATCTTCTCTGAATTCATTCTCATTCTGCAGATAAATGGAAAGAAATTTTTGCAATAGATTGATTTTATAACGGCACAGTATGAGTGTAATTATTCAGAGTGCATTAACCAAACGTTTTACAGCAATCGTCGTCTATCAGTTTTATATTTGTTTCTGATATAATACACATCATCTGGCAACTGTTGTTTGTTTCACCACGTTGTTTTGTTTTGTCGAGAACAATTCTTCTTCTGTACACTGCACCAGTTTTGCTCACATTTTTCAATCTCAATCCCATTGCTTTGTACTTTCTCCCATCAACTATCACATGTGGTTTCAAGACGTTTTGAATGGGTTAACGATTTTCTGATTCATAAAATTTGCAAAGAAAATTATAATGTGAAGAGGTGGTAAACCCATAAAACTTCGTAATAACAGCAGCAGTGTTGACGTGATATTTACATCGATGCTGACTGATAGCACTGCTTTCGATGGCAGTTATAATGATGATAAGCAGGGAAAATGATCGTAGGGCAGCAAAATGAATATGAATATGACAAGATATTCAAGTGGGTGTTTGAGATGCTCGTGCAAATTCATGCAGATACTTACGATGCTATATGGCTTAAGGGCATCGTTGATTAAAAGCAATGAAGCATTGAATTTGATTTTAAAACGAGTGGATTTGATTCAAAAAATCGCCCCCATAAAATGATTTGTCACTATTGACTGATGTTATTTCTTATCGTTGATAAGTTTTTGTTGAATTCAACCATCAGATGATATCATTTGAATCTGATAAATTATCAAACATTGGATCAGACTTCTCATTATTCATCTCTTGTATCAGTTAATCATATGGTCTTGCATTCAAGTTTTTAGCATGTGTTGTCTGAAAAACTGTTAAATGTCATCAATCAAAGTTGAGAATTGCTTTGAATGCATATGTTCAAGACAGAAACAGGGGAGGAATCGCATTACCTACATCAGATGTTTGGAGAACATAAATCGCTGGTTTTATGCACAAAACATGAAATTAATCATTCGATTCATTCGATTGCGAAACGAAGTAAACATTTCAATGGGGTGATGATAGCATGTGAGCCTAATTGTAAGCATTTGGCTTAGATTCTTATAATAATTGGGCAATAATCATTTCAGGGTGGTTATACTGGTGCTTTGTTACTGGCCATTTTCGCAGCCACTATCGGTGGATCTTTCCAGTTTGGTTACCATATTGGATGTATTAATGTACCGCAACAGGTGATTTCTCAGCTTTTACTTTTCGATATCCATATTATCTTTTTTCAGTCATAGCGATGGGCTTTGAAATCTTTATGAAATACGATTGATTGTTTAAAATAGTTAATGTTTTCCGAACTGGTGAGGTGACTGAAAAGCGTTGTTGTTTGCAGGTGATCAAGGAATGGTACGTAGACTCACACGAGCATCTGTTCGGGAATCGTCCCACCATCGAGAGTATCGCTAAAGTGCAATGGTCAGTGCTGCTTGTCAGCCACCTTACAATCAGCAAAAATTCAATCCTTTCAGCTAAATTCTTCTTCACAAATGATAACTTGTGCCCGAAACCACTTGAATTTCCGCTGTCATTTCTGTAGATTGTGACGATTTGAGCACGAAGACCATTTGAATGCAGCCTCACAATCAGTTAAAACAACCTCTGCTCATGCGTAGAGTTGGCTTAGACTTGAGATTAAGCTCATGATTAGTACGAATATGCCGGATCGATTTTGAGAGAAGTATTATTGATGAAGTAGACTTTTCAGTCAGGGGCCACACCCCGTCCACTTTGTTCCCCTCTCTTGCGGGTAATTCGCTCCACGACTTTCTTGTCGGGGTACCCTCTCGTCCATTATGCTCCCCGACAGGATCCCCGGGGATATAAAGTTGCTCCCCGACGAACACTGTTTTATACAGTTGGTAAAAGAATGTATTACAATCTGCAAATATATGGTGTTTGTTTTCGCAG